AAAAAACCCCCCCCCCCCCCCCCCCCCCCAATCACCACCTGAAAGTATAGCTTCCTATGACAAAAGTTTTTGTGGCAGTGAGTGAGAATTAGTGTATCTTTTTTTTTTACTTTGATAATACAGTGGAAAATTTTTCAGGAAGCACCACATTCTCCCATCTTTACACCTTCAGCCATGAGTAGCTGTGGGGAGTCCAGAGGGCCATGTACTCTCAAGTGGGGGAGTGTGGCTGGCAAAACCTGGTGCGTGTTCAGCTCCATGGGTGAAATGCAGATGTTGTGTATCTGGCCACCCTTCCACAGGGCTGGACTCGACCTCTGTAGCCTTTACTGATGGGAATATCCTTTCCAGGTGGAAGTCAGAAGTAAATTGTCAGAGCCTGTCTGTTTTCTTTTGAAGGTATTGAGTGAAAGCCATTGTCAATAAATTGTGGTTGTGGAACGTGCCTGAGAAGCAGGTCCATCTGTGTGTGAGGAATAAAAACTCTAAGTGGCGCTGGTAATCTCTTTGTGAAATGTCGGTGCGAAATATCCCAATATTCCAACTGTAATTATGAAATGAATATTCAATGTATTCAGTTATTTTTCTTTAAGGAAACCAGATGTTGAGCTTGCACTGAATGCCATCAGTGATACATCTCATTTGTTTTGTTTTTAATCCCAGAAGAAGTTAGCTGTATACAACAAGATGCAGGAGTCTCTGGAAGTGACCCTTCCCAGCAAGCAAGAGGAGGATGAGAAAGACCAGCCTGCCGAGATGGAGTACCTTAACTCTCGCTGCGTCCTTTTCACTTACTTCCAGGGAGACATTGGTTCAGTAGTGGATGAACACTTTTCAAGAGCTTTGAGCCAAGCCAGTAGCTTCAATCCAGAAACTGCCCTTACCAAGAGCAAAGCAGGGCTAAGTCCTCTGTGGAGAGGTAAGAGGAGCAGTAACGTGCTCTCTGCGGTATGGCTTACTCGGTCTGTGTTGCGGTAACACATATTGCATTGCAGCTGAAATGTTGCTCTGTGGAGGTGAAAAAATTCCCCTCAAATCTGAAAGAACTGAGGAGCTTCTTGGGGTTGAGTGATCTGAAGTGTAAAAGGGGGAAAGAGGTGCCAAGGACACAGAAGAAGCAGTCGTCTCCCTCTCTGCCATAGTCTGCAGCTCTGCTGAGGCCTGGAAGGAATGGGGCAGAGCTCAAGTGGCTTCACAAATGTCTGCTGCAAGGTTGCGGGCTTATTTTTAAGCCCCGAGTGTGAAACTTGGCCTGTGAGGCAAGAGCAAAGCTGTTTGGGATGCTAGCCTTGGACATGAGGAGACCCGAGCAGCCTTCTCGGGTAACTTTGCCAGGCAATTAACTGGACATGAGGAGACCCATGCAGCCTTCTTTGGTGACTTTGCCAGGCAATTAAGATTTGTCTATGGCTGCTTTCCAGGTAGGGAGGAGCCAGCACAGGGTGGAACAGGCTCGGATGCAAGCCCTGGCCCACGTGGCTGCAGCTGTGTGGTGCATTGCAGCCTGCCCATGGGCAGAGCTCACGGGAGAGATACGGCCGTCATCACTGGCTTCCCATATGTAAGATGGGTTTATTACGCCGCTTCCAAGCAGGGAGTGGAAACATGGTGGGTGGGTACTGCGAGGCATTTGCATACTGCCATAACATGTATGTCTTGTTATGCATATAAGCATGGTCAATGTAACAAAGAGCAGATCTTGCCAGATATACTAGGTAGACCTTACAGATAAGATTTCAAAAGTGGTGACTAGAGAAAGCATGCCAGTGAGACACTATCTCCATTTTGTTGGATGTGGCGGTCCAGGTAGTTTTTCAGATCTACAGCTGCGTTATTTCTGATCACATCCTTATGTGGGCTGGCAAAGGGACGCAAACTAAGTGTTGTGAGCAATGGCCTTGCATCGAGTTGAGTGAGAGATACCGTGAGGATCCTTGTAGGAGTGGCGGCGTTCATAATCAGCGATGTTGAGGTGAGAGTGTATTGATGAAAGTCACAGATAATAGAGAGAGACGGGATTTTTGGAAACCACTGTGAAGAGAAAAATAGCACAGAAGGACTTGCTTTCCAGAAGGATGATGACAAATCTGAGGAAGTTTAAGCAAAGGTCAGCACAAGTGGCTAGGGAGCTAGAGGAATTTATGGCTTGAGCCGGGACCATTAATGTTAATGGGAAATTTTCCGTTGAGTCAACTGAGAGCAGGATTGAATCTGTGCTTACTAAAAAGGAGACTGGAGCATTTATAAATGGCCCAGACAGGCTATAAATGTTTTAGAGATGGGATCAAGGCAGTCCCCAGAGACCCCATGCCTACAGCGAGCCTTCTTCCCTGAGCTCGGAGGCGTACCATGGGTGGGGTTGTGTGTCTTCTCTTTGGCCTCAGGTATGCCCTGCTGTTTTTCTCTGCCTCCCCCATGGTTGCACAGCCCTCCCCAGAGAGCCCTGCAGGGGACAGGGTGGCCTGGCATAAGGGTTCTTCAGCTATGCTGCCTCCTGACCCTGCGTGCCCTGTGCCGTCGGCAGGGAACGGAGGTCTGCGTGTCCTGAAGGTCTTCTGGGAATAAAGTAAGGGGATCTGCCCTCTGCCGTCGCTGCACCTGCTGAAGCCGTATGAAAATCCCTAGGAAGGCTGCTGGGCAGGGCTGCTTGGTTCTGTGCTGTGGACACTGAGAAAGCTGAGGGTATTTGCTTCTCCATAGAAGAGAAGCTGACAAGAGTTTTATGCGGCCCAAATGAGTTTCCGAAAGATGCCTGCTTGAAAAAAAGTGGGGAAGGAACGATACTAACACCCTGGTCTTCTGGTTCATGTACAGTTGTCAAAAATGCTGTTACAGCAAATGGATGTGAATTTGTATCCCGTTACCTAAAGAAGTTAAAGTATCATTAGCTTGAAGATCTTTTATAAATAACCTTCATGGGTAGTTGGAATTTTTGTCACTAAATTACTCAAAGATAAATTTAAAAAAAAAAAGCTTTTGCATTTTGGAAGGTACAGATTTAAATGGGAAGTGTGGGCATGAACTGCCTACTCAGCTCACTGCGTTATTTCTCCTTTACCTGAAAGGAGGGATTAGTAGTGGTTTTTGGTGGTGTGGGTTGTTTTGGTTTGGTTTTTTTTGGTTTTTTTTTTATCTTGTGGGGCTTTTTTAGTGTCCTGATAGAAGAGGAAACTGTAGTTTCATCATTAATGTGATATTGTGGGGTTTTTTTGTTTCAAGGAGTGATTTTGCTTATGTATAGAAAATAGAACCTGTTGTCCTGAAAAGAGCAAGTTTTCATCTTTTGTATGTTGAAAATACTGATCAGTTTAGGCTAAAATTAACTTCAAAATGGACTTTTTAAAAAAGGTAGTTCCCTACAACTTGCTTCAGTAACATGGACTTTGAATATTCAATTGTAGGTGTAGCAACCTGAAATCTTTTGCAGGGGCTAATGAAACTAGTGATACCTTGAAACTGATATTACCTTAATGGTTATTTTTATCAACATGTTTTTCATAGCTGAAAGTGGTTTTTCTTCTTTCTTGGTGGTGGTTTTTTGTTGTTTTTTTTTTTTCCCCCCTCCTGCCTTAACTGAGAAGTAGTGTTGTACTACAGAAAATTCCATACATTGTCGTCTTTACAGCATGTGCGCTTTGGCATGTTTTCAGTGCATGTTGGCCAACCACCATGAACATTTGCATTAGTCACCACTTCGTGGTATCCGAGATGTTGCCATCACCCTGCCTCCCTGTGCTTCAAATAGGAAATTGTGGTAACTGTAGTATCTTTCTTGGCAGACAATTTTTGTTAAATGTCTCCTTCCCCACTCCTGAAAGCCTGTGGAAGCTACTCAGATTATTTTTATTTTTTTTCTTTCTCAAGGACAGTGCTGAAATGGCTGTTTCTCCATTGCCATGTCCCATAGAGGCCAGGTATCTGACATGATTGTATCTGTAAAGATAATTTCTTGTGCTCGCTGTATTAAAGGTGGGAAGGAAGGGAGACCCTTCAAACACCATGGAAATGTGTGGTGGTTGGGGGTTGTAGTTCAACACAGAGCTGCTTCTTGTTGATGGGGTTGCTGCACACTTAATACTTAGTAGCATCCTCTGTGAGCACTCAGGGTGGATGAAGTTTTCTTGCATGTTCCTATAACCTGGATGGACCCTGTGTCTCCAGTGTCATGACTTGACCTTGACCAGTGAGGTTGGCCTCTGCAGTTACACTCAGTGGTATCTTGGTGGGGGCTGGTCCACGACAGTTTCTGACAGGGGTAATGGCTTTGTGAATGGTGCACAGGTTTGAAAAATGGAGATGGCCAAACGTGTTTTCTGTGGCCTAGACCTGCACGATTGGTAAAGCCAAGCTGGTATGCAATCTGGGATGAATTCATATTGGCAAATCCAGTCATTTAAAGTGCTCTCTCCTGGTATTAAGGTTGTTCTGCAGATACTTTGTGGTTTTCTGTGCTTTTTTGAAGTGAGATGGTTTGGGTTTAGGGCTTTTCCATGCAGATAACAGCCAGATAGTTTCCAAAAACTCTCGATTACAGTGGTTAATTTTCCAGCATACTGGCAATGCATTGTGAAGCTGTGCTCCTCTGCTCAGCAGTGAGGAAAACAACAGACTGGACATGAAGATGCTTGGATTTGCTTTTTTCTTCAGCCCTGCTGCCAACACTGTAAGCTACGTACACTCTCCATCTCAGCCTAATCCCTTGTAACAAGGAACAATTTACAAACAAGAAACAACACCAATTTTGGAGGGGTGCCGAGTCTTCTGTAATATGCTTGAAGCTCTCTCCAGTCTTCTAGCATGAATTACAACATAAATACACTGCTAAAAAGCAACCTTTTGAAGAAAGCCATATTTGAGTACAGTTTGCTAGATAAGCTTGCAGCCTCTGAAGCAGTTTGGCACAAAAAGAAGTTCTCTACGTTTTTCCATAGTGCATTTGCAAAGTTTATTTCCAATATTGGAAGTTAATCAGGCTCAATAAACTGCCTAAATCAGAGCAAATTGATGTATGGAAAAATGTCCGTGATTTCAATATTTTAAAACAGATACATGACTGTCCTAGTGATACAGTCAGAAAACACTTTTACAGTTTTTGTTTCCATAATATTTTTGTGTAAACAAAGTTCAGAGGCAGGAGAGTTTGAAGAATCTGTTCATTCTCAATGGTGTCTTCACCCAAGTCTCATTCCAGTTGCTTATTAAACAAAGAAAAACAAAAGGTCATTTACAATTTATTTTTTTTAAATGTTATATGAGGAACAGAGGATTCCTCGCCTCATCAAATATTAAATTTCCCTGGCTTTATTTCTCCGTAGGCTATTTTTATGACTGTTCTTTCATCAGAGGTGAAGGCCTCTATTTTTATGTTTCCATCTTTGACCCAAAAAAACCCCTGTTTGAGCTGAGACATATTGCATGAAGCAGTACTTTCAAACATGAGCTGGCAAGAGGATTGTAAGAATGGAGATGCCAATACTTTCCTAAACATCAAAACCACTAACCGCTCATTCAGAAGAGGAATTTTTAGAATGTGATTTCATAATGTAGAGGTATTGGAATCTATTTAAATATAAGTTGAGCCCGAGCTGTAAGAAGCAGTGAGTCTTTTATTTCTGACACAGACTTTTTTCAGTTACATAGATGTTTCTGCTTGTCTGATCCTACTGGGTATAGGGCAACATGATATATTCTGTGAGGGACTAACATAGAATGCCTTAGATATGATCCTTATCCCATCAAAGCATGCAATTAGTTTGAGAAGATCTTGTGTTCTTCCTTTAGCCAGATGTCTCCTATTCTGCAGTGTGACCTGGTTCTCTGTCCTCAGAAGCATTTACAGCCACAACAGCTGCCTTCCTAAATGATGTGTTCTGGTCTGGTCAGAGTTAGTCTCTCCTGATCCTGAGAGAGCTGAGACTCTTCAGCCTGAAGAAGAAAAGTCTTCTTGGGGAGGATCTTGTCAATATGTATAAATACCTGATGAGAGGGAATGAAGATGGGGGAGCCAGGCTCTCTTCAGCAATACTTGCTGACAAGAGGCAATAGGCATGAATTAGAAAACAGGAGATTCCATCTGAACACAAGAAAACACTTTTTTTTCTTTTTTTCTTTCTTTTTTTTTTTAAAACTGTTGAGGGTGGCTAAACACTGGAACAGGTTGCCCAGAGATGCTGTAGAGTTTGGATCTCAATCAAAATCTGACTTGGACCCGGTCCTGGACAACCTGTTCCAGGTGACCCCACTTGAGCAAGGGGGTCGTGCTAGATGATCTCAAGAGGTCCTCTCCTACCTCAACTGTCCTGTGATTGTGTAACTGCCGAGGAAGCTTGAGTTCAGTGTTACAAATTTCAGAGAGCAGAAAATCATTGTTTTGTCATTAAATTTGTTGTTCAGCTTCAGTCATACTTCATTTCTCTTCTCTCTACCAGAAAGCTCAACAATTTCAAGCCAAAGGAGCAGTTTCCCAACTTCATTTTGGACCAGCTCTTATCAGCCTCCCCCTCCACCGTGCTTAAGTGGAATACACCCTGATTTCCCCGTTACTGCACCAGGCACCTTCCCAACACCAGATCCCAGCAGCTGGCCAGGACATGGCCTTCATCAGACTGCCCCACCTCCTCCCCCTGCTGCATCTGAATCCTGGCATTACCCTTTAGCAGCATCTCAGGTGAGCCCTTCGTATGCACACATGCATGATGTGTACATGCATCGCCATCACCCTCATCCACACGTGCACCATCACCATCCCAGCTCGCACCGTGACCCCAGGTATGGGTCCCTGCTGATGCCTTCAGTCCGCACAGCCAGGATTCCTGCTCCCCAGTGCGACGTGACAAAGACAGATCCCACCGCTGTCACCAGCGCTACCTCAGCATGGGCTGGAGCCTTTCATGGAACGGTGGACATTGTGCCAAGTTTTGGGTTTGACACAGGTAAGGTGGTTCGATTGTGTCTGTGACTTGTTTTAGCAGGAAGAATTTGAGCAAAGAAGAGGACTCCTTGCAGCTGACGCAGGGTTTGTTCTCAGAGCCTTGTCCAAATATATTTCCAGGTGGGAATCTCTCCTGCAATTGCTGTCAGGGCAGATGAGCTGTGAAACATCCAGCTTTTGCTGCCTCTTGCTGAGAGACCTTTGTCTGCTTTGGTCCCATTCAAGCCAAATGACTTGTGACATGATACACATTTTTTTTGTTTAAATCTTGGGGGAAATGGTTAATTAAACTTCCATGAGGAAGCTTCCGGCTTGTTCAGCTAGTTCATATGTGCATTCACCAAAATATAGCTCCAATGAGGACTGAATTCATAACTTGTCAGTACGTGAAGATTGCATCTTGCTCATCTAAATTGGAACAGATCAGCATTTCCTTCCTGTGTAGTATCCAGGCGTCACATGGAGAGTAAAGATGCTGGCTGAGCTGTGCTCTCCATCAAACTAAACTTCTTTCTGTAGGGTCTAGGCAGAGGTCTGTGAATTAGATTCGTTTTACTGTAGGGTCTGTAGCCATAGGACAGCCTCCATAAACTACATCCGCATCTGCGAGCTTTGACTGGCAGGCTCTCATCTCGGTATTAGGAGCAGTCTAGCAGTCCTCACTGTACATAGTTGCTTGCGATCAGGTGATGGGTGACTAACAGTTTCCAGTACATCCATCCTGGAGCTCATATGCACTATTGAGGTCTCCTTTTTCTGCTTGGTATTTATCTCACCAGCAGCAATCCTTGCAGATTAGTACTTCTTAAACGTATTATATATTAAGGAAATATACTAGGTTTGCATATCTGTGCCCCTTTCCTTAAAGTATCTGTTTATCTCTCTTCCTGATAGCTCTAGCCAACTGATTCAATGTTTGAGAAGCACTTCCTTGCTTTGATTAGTGTGCAGGGGAACAAAGAATTGGTGGAGAAAAAAAATATAGTTTCTTAAATACGAAATACTATGAACCCAAAACCCCATTATAACTGAGCTAACCGAATACAAATCTCCCTCTTCCCTTAATAGCAACTGGGAACCAATAATCTCTTCTAAATACTATGCCACTTGCTGCCTCAAAAAATTAAGAAAAGTGTAATAGGATTCTTAACACTGGACAATTTGACGTCTGTTAATAACATTTCCAGCCATGCCAGTGATACAAGAGGAATTACGTTTTATGCTTTTGGGTATAAAATGATAATCTGACAAGAGTGGGTTCTCATGTTTTGCCCTTCTGACAAATTCCATAATGGCAGTGAGCTGCCTTCTCTGAAGCATGAGGAAATTGTCGCTGCCACCGTTTAGAAAGGATGAGCCCCTGGTCTGACAGTAGCCCCAGCAGTCCAGCTCCAGAGCTCTGGTATTTGACTTACCTTTTGGGGAGTTGAGAACTGTGTGAAGGATTGTTAATCAGGAGAAACCACTACCTGGCTTAGGTATAAGTCTGGTCTGGAATGTGAGCTGTTTCAGTGCTGGGCAAGTTGGTTTGCTTACTGCTACTTCGTTGGTAGTAGTACGTCTAATGAATCAGGCGCCTTTTCTCTTTTCTGTAAGAGCACAGTACCTCAAAAAGGACTATGGATCCTAGCACTGCCTTACAGGAGTAATATACCCTTTGTTTGGTGCTGCCTGCTCCTTGTGAAAACCCCGATGGAGGGCTACAGTTGGATGCTAATTTTGTCAGGATCCTGATTTGGCAGTGCTTGACAGTGGCTTGCATGTCTTGTAGTTGTCTACTCGGTGTGGGAGGCAGTGGAAAAGGCCTGAACTGTTAATTTCTGGCCCATGCCTGATGTGTGGGTTTTAGTCCATGAGTTCCTGTGGGGGAAAAGAAAGAGGGGAAATGTGTGACTGGTTTGCAGGAACAGAGGATCTCAGCAGGCCAACGTCTCACTTGTTTGTGACTATTCAAAATGGCCAGGCACTGAAACACAAGAGCAAAACCTTATCAGGCAGCCCCAGTTTGGCATGTAAGGCTTTGGAAACAAGGGAGCAAGCAACAAAACACAGCAGGTAGTGGTAGCCTGTGACATTACAATTAATTGCTCTCTTACCCTGCACACTCCTCTCTCCTGTGCTCTCCAAGTAGAGGCTTGCTGGAGAAGGGCAGGAAGGCTCTGAGCTCCCTTTTCAGCCTTGCCTGCAGCTCGTACATTTGAGACAAATGCTTTGGTGACAGGCATTCGAGGCATGATCATTGTGAAAAGAGGAGCTTAATTGCCCCAGTGTTTTGCGTACATGTCAAACGATGTCATCCCAGGGAAGATGTGCTGCTGGGGAGAGGAGGGGGCTGCTGAAGGACCACACCGAGTCACATCCAGCACGCACCAGCACGGGTGAAACTTTTCTTGCTCCACGTCCACTCCAGGGGAGGATTATACTGCATAAATCTCCACACAGCATTTCATTACATTTAACTCTAATGTGAGACAGCAATCTCAACAGAGAGGCTAAAAACTGAAGGGCCTGGCAGAGTGTACTGGCTTTCTGAGGCATAGAAGTGGTTTCTCCAGAGTAGGGTGAGGCCATAGTGGCAAGAAAACTTCAGTTCTGGAAGTCTTTCCTCATATGTCCCTGGAGAATAAAAGACATCAACCTGTGGAGCTGTCAATATATCAGATTCCATGAGCTTCAGATGATTTATATAAAAAAGCTCATTTGATATATACCTAGACATTGCTTTTCAGAGCCCTTCAGATACAAAAATTAGTCCCCCTCCCTCCTTGCTGTGGGTCACATTTCTTGTGCTACTGTCACATGCGATTATAGAAACATTTGCAAAATTCCTCATGCTGAATTACATGGAATGATAGTGTTGGGATCAGGGCAGGCTGGCTGTAATCTTACCCGCTTCCAGCTACATTGTTGCATCTCTGCCATACTAAGCCAAGGATTCCATCTCATGAATGGGTGATCCTGCATCACTTCAAAGGTTAAGAGGGGGTTCCCCTTGCATGCACAGTATAGTTCAGGAATTTATGTTTTGGAACAGGTTGCGTGGGACATCAGCGTATCACCGTTCATAGAGCTAACAAAGTATTGATCTGTCTTGCACATCTGTTTGAACTTACATGGTCCCATTTTAGAGGATGAAGAGGCATTTAGCTACCTGATTCCCATTAAATGTGGCTTAATCCTCACATTGTGTGCTGCAAATTAACCCTTTTAGGAGCTTCTTTATTGGTACAAGTGGGGTTAAAGAAAATGCTAGTCTACATCAAATCTGTTAAAACCTGTAATGTTTATGGCTGCTGGTATGCAGTGTCTTTTCAAAGCCGAAGTGCCCAAGCTATAATGCTCAATATAAAAGTATGTTTTATATCAAGCATTGACATAAACACATCGGTATAAGCACAGCATGTTTGTGCTTTAGGCCACAATTCTCTGCCCTGCCGATGTCAAGCAAAGCAAGGTCAGCCTCTAACCGCACTGACTGCGGTTCACGGCATAGGTACAGAGAGCACTGCTGCAGCTGTAATGCCACAGTGTCAGAGCTGAATCCTTGTGTTCATGTTAAGGGTGCACGAGCGGAGATGAGCATTTAGGACCAGGGGGGTGGGAAGGGGAATTGCTGTCTTGCAGTGGAGCTGATGGTTACAGCCATCTCGGTGTTTTCCTCAGGAGCAGGGCGGGAGGCTGCCCAGCACACCGGGCACTTCAGGTGACCAGTCGGCTCTGGCTGTGCTGGCAGCTGCCAGGTCTGTGGGCAGCCCCGTGGGGAGGAGAGCAGGGCAGAGCAGCTTGCCCTGCTAGTGCGGAGCCTAGGAGGATATCCGGGCCTGCTGTCGGACAGATGTGCTGGAGGAGGCTTCCTGTGGGCCCGGCGCACCATAAAAGCAGATCAGGATTTTGGCATATTCGGGGGCTGTAAGTCTATCTTAAAATTGAGGTGCACATCCTTTACCATGCGAAGTTATGCGCGTTGAGGTGCGTAGCTTTAAATTTAGGTGAATTAATGACATCCTCTAGTCCTGGCTAACTATGGAAAGTCCACTTTTGGAAATGCCTGTATGTCAGTGTGTCACGTTGAATACGAAATTTGAGTGGTCAGTCAGCATGCTGCCTTCTGTAGAATTGTCTCTGTTCACACTCCCCCCCGCAAGTTTGTCACAACTCATTAAGTTTGTTTAGGTGTTCCCCCAGAACCTGCATTCTGCTTGTGTGGCAGCTGGCTATAACGTTGGTATCCCGAGATGGGGAGTTGTGCTGGTGTGGCAATACTGACTCAGGCAACACAAGTGAGGACATCCTTGCTAAGAGGAAAATGTTCTTGCAGCAGGCTGCAAGTGAAAGCTCTCAGTTAGGAGCAGGGTTGCACTTGGATTAGGGCTGCAGATAGCCTTGCCATGAAGGAGATGGGAATATAATGAGGAAAAGGCACGGAAAGTGTTCCACATTCAGTTCTGTAACTAAGGCAACTTTGGCTTTTTGGATTGTTTTCTCTGGCTGTTTAGACTTAATAGCTATACCTTAAACCTCCGTGTTACAGTTATTTCTGTTTGTTGCAAAGACACCTAACTGGGAAGGTGTCCGTTCAGCTGGTTGTTCCCCTTCTACCAGTTGCTACTATCAGATGGGCATCCTTTTAAACAGGTGTGTGTGTCTTTTTTTTTTTTTTTTTGAAGCTGCTAGGAGCCATATAATCCATTTCTCTTCTTATAGGCTTTCATAGCCTGTGGTGGCCTTTAGGGCCCCACTGGTAGACTTAAATGACTTCCTTACACTCTGAAAGGTTTCTGCTGTTTGACTCCCTCTTTTTTTTTCTTTTCTCGTTCTGTGTGTCTTTGTTAAAAAAATTGTAAATAGCAGGGGAAAAATAACACAAAATTATCTTCACTAACTTTGAGGGAGCTTTGAAGGAAACTAACAGCAGTTTATTATGACTCTGCTCATGAATGATGCTGCCAGGAAAACAAGTAACTCTTAAGCTGCAAGGAGACACCTTCATTGAATAAAGAGCCTCCAAACATGTTTTTAGGCATGCTTTAATGGAGGGATATCCCAGTTTTTCCACTCTAAAGAAATAGGTGCAAGTGCATGTGAAATGGAGCAGAAAGCCACTGAACAGGCTTTGGTATGCTATACCTGTGTGCTCTGCTTTCCCTGTCTGTTCACTGCTGGACACACAAGTGTTTGGACACTGCTTAGGGATCCTCACATGGATAGAGCCATATGCTGTCATCTTTTATGTGACTGTTAATTGCTTTGTAGCGCAACTCTGAAATTATGTTGATCATCATTCAATATTTAACTGTTTGTACTCTTAAAACAAGGACGTAGTGGTCAGAACTGAACCCATCGTGCCTGTTAGGCTTTCTGAAAACATATGGGTCTTCCCTTGTGTTTCACTATTTGATCAGATATGGAAATGAGAGGTCCACGCTTAGTACATGGATCTGTCAATTTTCACAGGTTAAAGATCAAATAAACATGGACCTTCAATGGTTGCATCATTGAAGTCTGGAGTTGTGCCTGCTTACATTAGTGGTGAAATTGGCCCTAAATTCTTAGCAGATCAGGTAGTTGTTGCATTGGTCTTAGTACACTATATAGCAGGGTAATATACAGTATGACACAGAGTGGAGCATTGGTGCCTATATAGCAATGATGGTTTACAGTGGGAAGTGAACCTTCCTTTCACGAAATGTGATTTACTTGGCTCAAAACATCAAGGAGTAGGTTTTAAATTGATGAGCCCTAAGTGCCTTACTACCTCTGAAAATATGTGCCTGCATCTCTCTCCTTTTTACTTTCCCTATAAATGAGCAAGAATGTGTCTTCTTTGGGAAGTTTCATCTGCACCTCCCCCTCAGTAGTCTGGATTTTAGGTATACGCCCTGTTGGGTGTAAACCTAGCAAAGATTGAATCCCTCTGGAGCAGAGAAATCCCAGATTATAACACAGGTTCCAAGTCTATAATGCTAAAGCCACAACATAGCTCCACGTTTATTAGATAGTCCTCACTTTTTATAAAGGAAAATGTTAGAGGAACTCATAACAAATGCAGGCTGAAAAGCATTAATTTCTCCCATGTGGAAGCACTAGCCATTCTTGGCTAAAAATCTGACACTCTGTAGGTGAAATTATTTGGGTTTTTTACATGCTGCAGGAACATTTTCCCTCTCTTCTGTAAGGTGAAATGCTACAGAAACTGTGAGAGCCTGAAGTGTCACAGACCTTTTCTAAAAGAGGTAGGATCTGTGGCTGGTCCCTATCAGGAAAGATTACTCTGCTGTGTACTGGATTATCTACGCAGACCTTGCTGGAGGATTTTATCATGCCATGCCATGCTCCAAATGAGGTCAAAACAAGGAAGCACACGCAGGATTTTATCAGCATTCCTGAACTGCTTGAGCCAGTCTAAAACTTAAGTGTGGTTTAAGCTTATCTCACATAAACTAAAAAATTGGGAGCAATAGCAATGTTACTAAAAAGCCCACTAGGGTGGTAAGTTGTGGGTTTTTTTTCTTTTTTTTAAAATCAAAACCTGTTTATCCTTACTTTAGTTGCTTGGGGAGGGGGAGGAAAAAGCTGTATCAAATTTAATTTTTTTTTTTTCTTTTCTGAAATGTAGGTCTACAGCATCAGGACAAGAGCAAGGAAACTTCTTGGTTCTGAAGTTCAGATAAATTAAGACCAGCTAGAGCTGGAATCAGCGCAGCTGGGCGGGCGATATAACTGTCGTTGACTCCTTCTGCATGGGGCAAAGGACACACATGAAGATGAAGAGTCAACCGTTCTGGTTTTGCTATTGAGCCTTTTGTTTGTAAGGCTGTTTATGGGTCCCACAGTGTTGGAAAAAACCAAAAACCTAACTTTCCTTGCTTTCCTCATCTGAGCCTGCTGCAGCTGGGCAACCTAACTCCTTTCTGCTCCTTTAACAGTGTTTTGTTTTGTTCAGCTTGATATTTTTATGAACAGTCTCAATTGTCAGGAGGAAGACTCTCCCTTGACTACAGTGCGCCTCCTTTCAGGAATACAGGATTTTGTAGCTCTTTGTGCATCTATTTTTGTAGAAATACAGAAAGTTTGGGTAAGGATTGATGGGCTATTTTAGGATGATGTATTTTTTTAAAAAAAATTGTAAAATTGTTAAGTTCTGTTTAAAGAACTTGCTCTCAGAGAAGCACTGGCAAAAAAATGTATAAAATGCTATTTTTAGATGTCTGTGATGTGTTTGTGCATTTTGGTTTTTTTGTTTGTTACCTCAAATGTCTATCTTTCCTTTCTTTTTAAAAAGCTAAACCTCCCTTGTTTCCACGTTACTAGATTTTGATGTTTTTGTCCTTTTGTTCTAGCTTAAGCAAGTATAATTTGCACCTGATGTTTCAGCCAAATATTTTTTCCTGGTGTTAGATTGTAGTAAGGGTGTCTTTATTTTCTTGCTTCTAAAGGTGGCTTTGTGCTGTGCCGATTGTCAGAAACTTGCAAACACCTTTAGCATGAAACAAAGCTTGGGGTTACAGGAACTGCATTTCCAACCCATCCATTCTTTCAAAATGGACCAAATACTCTCACGGATTTAAATCAGACCTGAGTCTGGGCCTCATCTATGCTCCGTTGAAGCTGTTGAACAGAGTCCCCTATGGGTTATGTTTCAGGCACTCATAGTGGTCATAAATACCAGTATACTCTTATTTTAAGTCATGAGGCAGGACTTTCAGCTAAGCCATTTCAACTTACAACATCAGTGTTCAGGAAAGAAATGTCAGTTTTACAAAAATGTGTGACTTGTGGAAACAAAATGTTCTCAACTGGCCTGATCCGTCTGCTAAGCACCTCAAGGAAAGCGCTGAGATTTTTGACTCCTGTTGACTTCAAATCTGTTTGTCTAACCTAAGATTTGCTGGGGGCATCATGAGACTCCAGCTGAAGCTCTTGAATTTTGTAAGAAGTTGCACATGCTCAGTGTGCACAAATTCAGGCTTGGCTGCTGTCTGGGTAAGAATCTGAATGTGGAAACGACATGGCCATGTCTAGCCACAGTGCTCTGCAAGGTGTTTGGAAAACCCCATTTCTGGCCTGGGCCTTGGGTCTGACTTGCATAATAATGAGTTTAGTTGAAGCCAAAGTGAGCACGATCCAATCCTGAATAAGGGCTGCAAGATTTCCCTTGACAGCCACAGTCCTGCAATGAGCTGGATCTGGGTCAGCCTCCGTGCCCAGCCCTTGGTGACTCCAGCGAGTATCAACATGTGCTTAGGTGGGACTGAGCACAGGATTGGGGCCTGGGCTGCCAGATCCTAGCTATTACTTGGAGATGTTGCCTTTCTGCTCTGTGCACCCAGGGTCCCTCTGTAATATTTCCTAAGGGTCTTATAACCTATTATAGTTCTGTTACCACTGTTTTCAGACATCCCTGTCTGAAGGACAAACCAGCTAAATGGAAACCAAGACATAAACACATGGCTGAGATAAGAAACAGTTTAATTTTAAGGCAATGAGCATTGTAAATGTAGATTTGTCAGGTGGAGACCACATGGATCTGCGTGTCAAAAGGGAGGGGGAGTGTTGGGATGTGCATGCCACTCCAAGGTTCAGGCCTCCCTCCCTGCGCTGCTGCTTTTCTCCAGGCTTTTTGAACTTGATCCTATGAGGTGTTGAGCGTTCTCCTTTGCCACGTGAGAGGGCTTGACATGCTGGCGCTGGAGGCATTAGGATTATGTCATGATTTGGCAAGACCCTTAAGTGTGTACCTTGCTGATTTGAAGTTTGAGACAGCGTAAAAGTGCTGAATGGACTATGCTTAAATATTACTTTAAAATAGCAGGGTTGTAGTTTCTGTGTTGAGATGCTGAATTAAATGTGGTGGGGTCTTTTTCCTCATCTTTATAGTCCATCAGCATTTCTTTCTCTTAATAAATTTTACTCTCATGACAGTTCTATATATTATTGCTGCTCTGGTAGAGCTAGCTCCTCAATTTGTCAATGAATTCATAATGCAATGGGAAAACTGTATGGTAGGGAACATAGTAATAGCTGCCATGTTTCAGTTTTGTATCAGGACAGTACAGTTCAGGAAATATCTAAAAAATAAAAGTTCTGACTTAGGAATTCTGACAGTATTAGAAATACTGGGAAGAAAAAAAAATAAATCTAAGTTTTGGGTGTTTTTTGGGTTGTTTTTTTCTGGACTTGGCAAAGCGGAAGGCAAAGAGGCAATGTATCCTCTTTGAACTTCAGGGCTGGAGGGTTTGGGTGGTGAGGGGAGCAAAAGAAAAGGCAATGTTTCATTTTGACTTGTAGTGTGTTTGACTTCCTGAAATAGTTTAAAGTCTAGCAAGAGCAGTCAGTTCATTGCCTTCCTCTTTGCAAGGTCAGATGATGAAGGACCTCCTCCTGTTCCCTATAGATGTCAAAGCAGAATGGGACAGGAAAAAACAGGCCCACAGTTTGCACTAGAATCCCTTTCTGGATTGATTTATTGAGTTGATGGGTAGTGGGGATGAGTATGTGGTGAAGCTATTGCCTCTTCCACCTCAAGGACTACTGTTATGTGCCCAGTTTCCACTGTTGAACCTGTGAGTGTGCTGAAGGAACTTCTGTTGCTCTGCAGGCTTGGGGATACAAGTGCCAATAAAAACCTGCTATCGTCTGTAGCCATTCATGCACCAGTCAGTTGACTTTGAAAGTCAAATAAATTATTTTTTTTTCCTCAGTCACTAACCAGCCCCTGTACTAACAAGCAAGTTGAAAACAAAAGCACAAGTGCATAGCAGTAGCCCTACTTCTACATTCTACAATTTGAAGGGTGGGAAAGAAAAAATTCTTCCCTGTGACAAACTTCTAAGTTCAATTCAGCAGATTTACACCCCCCCATACCTCTCACACGCACACTTATACACACGCACAAATGTGCTTATGAGAAGCAGATGCTGTGATGGTTTTGTTCTTGAAAGAGGAGGGGAGTACTTGCTTGCAACGTTGCAGTTACGGAGAATTGATGGCAGTGAGAAAGAAACAGAAATGTTAAGACTACTCATGTTTCCACAGATAGGAAAAAAAGGCCCTTAAAATCAGGTCACCGACAAGTTATGTGGCTTAACCTATTACTAAAGGAGTTGTTTCATTCTTTTTGTGTGTGGTGAGTTCTGATGCTGTCCCAAGAAAGTGGATGATTCATTTTGTGAGGACTTATAAAACATGATGTACTCTGTCACTTTCTGGGAGAACATAGGGAAATTATTGTTTTATTTCAAGAAAATCTACATACTAAACTCCTTAAAGTTGTCCAGGATTTGATTTTATTCCTATTAATGTTGAGAAATCTGTTGTCAATTTTTGTGTCTTCATTTGAAGACTGGGAGGGTTCAAGCTGTCCACCAGTTTTTGAAAAGCAGATACCAGCTTCTTTCAGCTGGGCATTTCCATCCCAACGAGATGATGGAATAGTGCAGCTACTGACTGGCCAACAGATTTGATTTCTGGAAGGCTGGCCAAGCTACACTGGGCAATATTAAAATGCACTTTGTTCTGATTCCTCTCGTCACCAGACACACAAATTCAGTTATCAGTTTATCTGATACTTCTTTCATAGTGTGAAGTTCTTCAGTGAATGGCAGTTTTCTCTCAGTTGTCTACTTCTGCCTCAAAACATGCTTTTGAGGATGAATCTCTCATCACAGCTTTCCGAGAGAGCAGAAGTTGCGGGAGGGAAGTGTCATGTTTCCCCCCACTTGTACTTAGGATCAACTTGCCTGTACCCAGCATTTCTGCTTCCAGGCTATTTTGTATGTCTTGCTCTCCTCCCACAATTTTTTATGTGTATGTATATATTTATAGACGTATGTATGCACATACATATGTAGCTATACCTGGTTCCTTCCATGCCACCCTCATGCTTCAAATGCACATCCTTTGGAAATGAAGTGAATGACATCACTAAATCTCATCTGAGACTGAGAAAATGTAGGCATTTTATTGCATACTCTGTAACCTCAGGAGTGAATGGAATTTCTCCATACTTGTAAAAAGCCAAAAATAACAACAACAAAAACTCCCCCCACCCCTCCCTTCAAACCCCCTGATTTATTGTATCTGTAAAGATGACCATGGAGCCAGCAGAGTTATGTAGAGAGGTGCAATATATTGCCTTTCAGCAGACAAGCATATCTTTTTGAATATGATATTTCAGGTACAAGCTTTTTCTCCATATCAATGGACCAGCAACATATATTTCTTATAAACAATTTAGAAATACATATATTTTTAAAATTGACTTCTTGGCTTTAATATGTCAGCCTTTGGGCTTTTAAAAGGTATTTGGATGATAAATATTGTTTATGTGTGGATTTTTAAAAAAAGTTGATGCATGTTGTTTGGAACTGAAACGTCATGTAAAGCAGGAAGGTATTTAAAAATAAATACTGCTTTTACATGTTAGCCCTATGGGCACAATCTGACAGTTGTGAGGCAGGAAGTTGTCCCTTTAAAGTCTAAGGGACGCTTGCCTGAACAAGGTCAAAATCCAGTCCCTGTGACAGGAGAGGCAGGAGCAATTTTCTTGCAAAGGTTGAGCTGATTGAGCTGTGAGCAGAGATGATCCTCTCCAGCATTGTATGTAGATGGTTGGGCAGCCACTGCTCAACAAGTTAAAATTAGGCTCTGTTGGCAGGTTTATACTCGCCCCATCTTATGGGACGAACTGGTTGCCAAGGGGAATTAGACATGTCCCTGGAAGCCTGCGTTTTAGCTGTCCTTGGTCTGCACAGTGCCCATGACTCTCCCTGTTCTTGCTCTGTGGTCTCCATGACACCGTGGTGGGACCTGTGGAAACTGGGCTGGAGTTCCCTGTGAAATATGGGATGGTTTTAGCTCCCAGTGGAGTTTAGGGATGGGGGTAATTAAAACATCACAGTTATCTCATGCACCTGCTCAAAAGCTCAGGCCTTCAAGGTGGATCAGCTGTGCATCATTGATGTTGGCCATTTGCGTACAGGAGCCTGAATACTGCTTCCTCCCCTCAGTGTCTTTGGAAATCTTCGATGGCATTGAGATCATTGGGACCAGCCTTGAACGCCTAAATTGCAGTCTAGTGTTGGCTGGCACAGCGTGGTGGCCTGGGGTCTGGCCCAACGTTGGTGGACATCAATTGGAATCAGCATTGATTCCAGTGAGCTTGGTCTCAGGTAGCTAGTACCTATAGACAACCAATATTTATAGCAGTTG